ATGCCTATGTATATGTACGCCCCACAAACTCACACACAAACACACACACACACATACACACACACACATACACACAACACACACACACACAATATATATATATTATATATATATATATATATATATATATATATACATATATATGTACATATATATACATACATATATACGTATATATATATTAATATATATATATATATGTGTGTGTGTGCGTGTGTGTCTGCATATGTATATATACGTATCATCGTAAGGGAGCTAACGACAACGGGGGCGCATAGCCGCATCCACCTTTCGTTTCCACCTACGACGTTCCCATATGGCAAGCCGCCAGGCTGGGACAGCCTATCTTGAGTTCCTTACTACAGGTTTGATCGATCCACCCCAGCCACGACTTCCTAGGCACATAAATACTGACCAGGTCTCCAAAGTCCTGGATCTTGGTCCTGGTCCAGGAGACCACTAGACCTAAGGGCTTTGCTTCATTGCTGAATGCATCTAGAGCCACCACTAAGGTTTCCAAAGATCAGTAACCATTATATTGCCCAGAGTTGCTCCACAATGGCTTTGAGCAGTAGCTCTGCCCAGTATCCAGTCCATGCAAGTGTTAAAAAGTGTTGGTGCAAGGATACAGCCTTGCCTCACTCCTTAACTAACAGGAAAGAAGCTTGGCAGACCCCCACCACACGTTACAGCACTTTTAGTACTGGTATACAAACTTGCTATTAGTCCAATAATGCTTGTTGGAATTCCTCTCAATCTCATGATCTCCCAGAGTGATTCCCGATGCACTGTAACGAACCCCTTCTTGAGGTCGATGTATGCTGCAAGCAGCCCAAGCCCGAACACACAGCGGCACTCTACAATGACTCAAAGCGCCAGGATATAGTCTAGTGTGGACTTACCAGGAGTGAATCCAGATTGCTCCGGCCTCTTGTGCTTAGCAGGTGGTCTCTGATAAGCCTCAGAAGGATGAGGGCGAAAACCTTGCCTGGTATACTGAGCAGAGTGATGCATCGGTGATTGCTGCAGTCCCATCGGTCCCCCTTCCCCTTCCAGGGGGAACTTTACCAGACTGTCAGATGGCAGCCAGAACAGCATGCAACCCCCGCACCATAAGTCCATCACCAGCCTTTAACAGTTCATCTGGGATGCCGCAGATACCTGCTGCTTTACCACTCAGCTTGGAGATTGCCCCCCTAACTTTAGCTAAGGAGGGTGGCTCCTCACTGATGGGTAGGTGTGGCAACGGAATCTTAGCACTATCCGCATCCAAGTTAACTGTTGGTGAATCAACTTGGTACACCTGCTCAAAATACTCAGCCCAACGCTCCCACACCGCAACAGGATCCGATCTGGCCACTGGCTGAGCGGATTACAGTCAGCTGTGAAGAGGACTTGGAGTTGAGCTTTCTCAGGGCTTGGTATGCCTGGGCGAAGGTCATGTACTAGGAAATGGCCTTGGACCTCCTCTGCAAGACTCCTAATAAACCATTCCTTGAGTTCCGCGCACCTGAGAACAGTGCAAATCCCAATCGCCTGTCAGACAAACTGCATGACTAGCATCTGTGGCTTCCAGTATCTCCTTTGATATAAAATTTTGTATTGCTCAAAGGCGTTCATCAATCGATTCTTGAGCTGCATTAAGCATTTCGTGCTTGAATGTGTCCCACAGAAGTACAGGGTCCATCAGATTGTCGAGCGCTGTGAAACGAACTGAAATTGCCTCAGTAAACCACTGGACACACTCCCGCTCCCTCTGCCTGTACAAATGAAACACAACGGTGGTCATTGGACTGCCGGGAGTTTTGAAGTGGATCCGTAGGGTAGCCACAACCAATCTATAGTCAGTACCACAGAACTCGGCACTCCTATACATCCTGCAGTTCTGGAGGATCCTCCAATGAGTACTAACGAGTGCTAGTACCAGGAGCCAGAAATCTTCAATTTCTGGGACCTTACAAAATACCAGAAAAATGAGGCTATTCTCGCTGCCCGCATCAGCTCTGAACCATGAGGACCGACAGACATCTCATAGCTAGCTCAATTATAGCTAGATACTGCACTGAAGTTACCCAAAACAATACGAATATCTCGCTGATGACAATTACATCGATAGGAGCGTACCCAGCAATAAGAGACATGAAGCCAAATGCAAGCCTAAGTCTCAATACCATTATACGCTCAACAACTGGAGTAACCTCTACTACCGAGGGCATTAATCTGCTGGAGATGGCTATGGCTACTCCCTGAAGATGGTGACCATCACTGCGGCCTAACCAGGAACATGTGTAACCACCTACATTAATCATGCTACTGCCAGGTCTCTTCACCTCCCAAGAGAGCAGCCACCTCAACTCTCAGCCTCCCCAGTTCTCTCGATAGTAGTGGCAACCGATCATCCTGACGCAAATGGACGTCAATGACCATTGGGGGGGTACATGTGGTGGCCAATCAGATTACCCTCCCCGTGCCACCATAGAAGCACCGCCTCTGAAGAGAGAGTGAGTAGGGAAGTGGGTAAAATATTACCTGCAGGCTTTCTGGAAAATTAGCAAGGTGTGATAAAATAAAGGCAAGTCCTTGCGATAAAATACGATGGCAGTAACTCGGGTTGTCAACCGTCCTTTAAAATACGGAATCGTTCCATATTTAAGTAAATGATGCACCCTTTAGTGAACTTTGTTCCATATTTCTGACAATAAAAGAGCAAATTTTATAATGAAACTTTAATTTTGAAAATTACTGTATTTCAATAAAATTATGAGTTAGTTCTCATAAATAGGTCTCTTAGCGTTTGGGGTTAGTAAAACTAAACTACTTTTCTTATGAAAAGATATTAACTTTGAAAAATTTACAGTTAACCTAAACAGTATAATATATACAGGGTCGGAAATGGTGGAAGGTGCTGGGAGAATTGACCTCCATATTTTGCCTTGTTTTCTGTTAGTACAGGAGCCAAGAGGTATTTTGGGTCGAGAGGGCCCCTAAATCACTCACTTGATTTTTGTAGCGAGGGTGGACGTGCTGAAACCCGGCAGTAATGGAGCTATTCAGTGTTTTGTCTGAGAAATCAGCACCCTCGGATGAATAAAAAAAAAAAATGGTAGGGAAAACTAGAATAGCAATAACTTTTGAACTAAACATATAGTCACGTATGGCCACTCATTTTGTAGTTTAGGAAGTAAGCTACAAGATGAATGTAAGCATTACTCAAACCAAAGGTCAAGGTCACCAGAGGTCAAACAATGGTGAAATTTAACACCAGTCTCAAATATAGGGCCTTTTGACAGGCCAGATACTAAGAAAGTTTTTAAAACTAGTATGAACCTGTACTGAAATACACCAACCCTTTCAGGTCTTGATATTTCATGTCATAAAAATGCTTTAACGGGTCATTGTTTTCAGCTTCCATCACACGATCTTCGACTGAAATTATATGTTCTGGCCATGTTTTTATCTAGTTTGCTATTGGTAATGATGCAAATGCCCATTTAGTACATAATATATTTGGCAGGGTGTAACTAATGGTAGGGGTGGGGCAGGAAGTATATGCCCCCCCGGGCGTTACGAAAAATGTGTATTTTATGCATTTGCCAAAAATTTGCAAAATACTGTACTCCAAATGATCTATTACACCCCATCACCAAAAAGAACTAGCTATGCCTCTGTTTAGAAGGGGACTGCAACACATTTTTGTTTAAAATTGTATAGTAGGCTTAAACGCCGATGGGGCCATCTCTGCGCATCGGTATGAAAACATGAAATTTATTGGACGGTATTATATTTCTAACCACCACTTTTCCCGCGTTTCCTTCACAGGGGCACTAAATGTAGTCATGATGGGAAGGGTAGGGGGATATAAGGGGGTAGAGCAATTGAGTGAACTGCAGTCTATCTGTGACAAGGAAGAAACGGGGATATTGTTCAAGGAAAACAGAGGAGGCTGCTGGAGAAATGGGAGAAGAATCCAGAGGGTAAGAAAGGGGGACTGGGGAAGGTGGTGAAACATCAGGAAAAATGTCTGGAGAGAAGGACACTGTTGTGATAGAAATGATTCGTGTGAGTATTCAAGTGGGAGTGGTAGAGAGGGTGGGGTATGTTGAGGATGGAACGAACTTGAGGATAGATATCTGCAAATACTTCAAATGTAGATGGAGTAGGAACAGAGGGATTGGGGGTGGATCATCTTTAGGAAGTTTTGGATGTCTTCAAGGGTTTTTGAAGGGGAGTTGGGTGAAGAGAACTAAGAAACAAAGGTTCTCTTATGAGGAGATGGATATCTGAGGAACAAAGAGGAGGAATGTGTAGGAGAGGATGTAGTAGGGGAGGGTGGAGTGGAACGTTTAGGTTGCCTGGTACAACAAATAAAGTGAGGATGATGGGTAGGTATCGTGGAAGTGGTAGAGATTGGAATATCTGGATTTAGAATGGAAAATGAATAAGACTGGGGGTATAGGGCGAGTAGACGTAGGATGGTTTAGGGTATAGGCAAGATATACTGGGGGAGATGGACTTAAGGCGAGCGGCCATCAGGCAGTACTCGATCTTTTGGATGGGGCCTGTCTGTCCATGTAACTACTTTTGTATGAAGAAAACCAAAACATCTTAAACTTTAGTTCCGAGATTTTCATGATGCTTTTACAATTAAATGTCAAATTAGATCATTCAAATTTCTGGGGATTGACATTTCCAATTCCGTTTGTTTATGCAGTTACTGCATGTTTTTTCCAAAAGGTCTGATGTGCCCATACCATGTCTTTTTAGTTCTCAAAAATCTGCATTAAATCCCGTGGAGCAAAATGTTAGCAACGGCATCTTTCTAGCCTTCTTGCATCACTTGCATCAGCTTATCAAGATTTTTTCAGACTTTGTGTAGTTCGTAAGGGCTATATTTTAATATTGTTGGCAGACTAGATGTTTCAATCCCAAACTTTTTTTTTCTTCTTCTTCCATACTCACTTTGTAGACAAAAAAAAGGTTTTAGAAATTGAAGACACAGATAAACCAAAAAAAAAAATATATTCAGTCAAGACTTAACAATGTACAGTACAGTACCATTACATTTACAAATAAAATTTCTTATTACATTCAATACGTCTTGATATAAAGATAAGCATACTTAATTTCACATACCTTCCTCTCATTCCAGTTAAGGTATGATACACTAACATTCAGTACAGGTATAATTAATGAAACAAATGATACCCATTCACACATTCCACAATGTGATCTAAATTTATTTTATATTCTTCCTAGAATAATTCAACACATTCCTAGCACACCATTAAATCACAAAGCCTATATATTCTATTCATCATCATCATCATCGTCGTCATCCCTCTTCATCATCATCATCGTCATCATCCTCTTCCTCTTCACCTTCAGCATCATCACCTTCCTCATCTGCCTCCTCTTCTCCCTCTTCATCATCATCATCATCCTCATCCTCATCCTCTTCTACTGGTGCTATTTCCTTCTTTGCCTGACGTAAAATGAATATATAAGAGTGATATAGCTGGTTCTCCTTAATTTCTGGGTATTAAATATACATTTGTATACCAAATAGCAAATACTCAGGATCCTTAAATCTTATTTTCAGTTTTTCAGCAAATTTTATACTGCTTTCATGAAATTCATAAAATCACAATGTGAAAAAAAAAAAAAAAAAAGCAGGTTTACAAACCAGTAAGACTTTACAGTTTGTTACTTCAGGGTCAACAGAAGACAAGGTAAATACTGCATGACTTACTTTTTTCTTTGGGGAGGCATCTTCCTTTGTTGCTTCTGCATCATCATCTAAACTTCTTTTGGTTCTGAGGAAATGGCATTTTACATGTTATGACAAATATATTTAGAATGTTAATTTATAAAATCATTCTTATTTTATTCACCTTTGAAGAGATCTCTTCAAATGAGGGAAATATAGGCAGAAGAAAAAAAAAGCAACACTTCCATCATCACTTACTTGAATTTGTATTGTACTTTTAGTGATGTTCCGTCGCTGCATTTCATTTCAGACAACTTCTCCTTGACATCATTGGCTGCTTTTTCTGACCCAAATGACACTGTGAAGACCCTATCAAAAAATTGTAATGTTACATAAAAGTAATAACCATATACACACTTGACATTTGAAAAGTTGAATGCACTTTCTACATTCAAGTATAGTTTTTCCCTCATTCAACTAATTTCCATACAAATTATGATCTATAAACATTTAATCATATCAAAAATTAGGGTCTCTAATACAGTTTCCTATACATCTATACATAAACATGTATTAAATGTCATCCTCACACACACACACTCTGGGGGGTGGAGGGGGGATTAACCGAAGGACACCAGGAGGGAATTTAAATTTATTAATTTATCCTACCAAATATCTCCATATTACATACTTATGGGGATTGTTTTTAAATTTCTCTAAGGATGAAACATGAAATATGATCCAATGAAAGAAAATAAAATATTCTAAATGAATGGCACATCATTGTTATCCATTTGTATACATTTTTTTTCTTTCTTCTTTCTTTCTTTTTCTTTTTTTTACGCTTCCTAGATTTTTGAGATCAGAGAAAATGAAGGTTGGTCTCACATGTGAAATTTTATACGCTCTGAAAATTCTCATTTTTATCATATTTGATCATTACGTCACAAGTGCCGATTTTCTAAGGTAAGGTAAAAAATCGTATTTCTGTGGACATCAAAAATGGCTACCACCTTAAAAATATCTGGTGGCCATAAAAATTTCAGGGGAGACTCAGAGGCCTTAAACTCTTTGGAAATGCATTTGCCTCAATTTCAGCAAGATGGAAGATTTGGCCGAAAATGACCAAACAATCCCCTTAATTACAAGGCTTACCAATCTCACGTTTCTCCTTTTCCATGAATCTTTAAAAATATTTCTATTAGTTAGTGCTGCCATTACAATTACTTTCTAGGATGCATAACAGCTTATTGTCATTGCTGCTTTAAGTCCTGCAAATGCTGTTTTTATTACTGTTAAAGCTTTTAATTTGTTTTTGTTAGTATTAATGCAATGAGGTAAACAGGTGAGGTCAGGTAGGCCTCTTCATTGATTCCTTGGTGACTAGGCACTCATAAAACCATCTATGCTTAAATAAAATTGACATACACTACAGTGGAAAGCGCATATATTTGGCATTAAGGGATCATTGTACTTAGGACAGTCACATACTATTATCTAACCGCTACAAACCAGATGATGTGACTATCATGTCTAAAAATTTGGCTCTGAGGGGCAGTTGACATGAAAATGCTATCATGGGAAAATCTGGCTGTGAGCTCGGATGATGTGTACTTGTCCTCATGAGCATTTGGGTTTTAGGCCATGATGACAGGAATGACTTGCCATGAGTGCACAAAGCTCTTGGAGTAGATTATAATTATTTAACAATTAGGAAGGAGCTTTTGCATTATTTCCACTGATAAACAAATGTGGAATGTACTGTCCATGTTCTGAATCCTATTCCTGACTGCAGTGACCTGCAGCACAGGTTGTATTATAAAAAAAAAAAAAAACTTATTTTCATTGTACTGGGTTATATACTACCTAGAGAGAGGCTATGGAGTGTGAAAGGAAAACAGTATTACCATCTGGATAAAGCAAATCAAATGCAAATATAAAACAGGAAAATGGCAAAAAAGCTAAAACACTTGTGCAGAAATATATATATTTTTCTAAATATATATATCTATATCTATCTATATATATAAAATATTTATATATTTTTTATATATATAAAATAGGGAGGCATAGTCTTGTCACAGCACAGAAGTATTCTTGCACCTGGCCTGGAAGCTGGACATCACAGTGGCCACTCAAAGTAAGCCTAATACCCATATTTTGGGACATGATGGCAGTGAAGCAACCAAATCCAATGGGTTAATGGTAAGATAGGAGTCCTCTATCTATGACCCTCTACCCTATCCTAGGACACCAAAGAAAGTGGTGTTCTGATGGCCTATTCCTAAGTGGCAATTATAACTGATGGGTAAATGCAAATGTATATACTAATACACATATACACATGTATGCATTCACACAAATGTGCAAGTAATGTACACCTATCACAAGCACACAAGTATTTGTATTAACCCATTGGCGCCGGGTGTCGCGTACGTACGTGCCATGGCTGTTGTGGACCAAACGCCGTGGGCATCATGCCATGCCCATTCCCACGCTACTGGCTCGTCGGAAGGAGGTTGTTTTTCTCCACTAGAAGCGGCTTCATTTATATGGTAAAGATTTTAGGCAATGGCACCTTAAGTGAAGGCAAACCTTCAAAATTTTAATATTTTTATAAATTATAGCAAATAAAAGATTTTAGGTGCTATATGTCACTCGCAAACTGCGGATCGAGCCGGGCGCAAACGGGATACGTAAACTTGACAAAATTTTTACCCGTCGCTGATGGGTTAATTCATGCACATTCATGCAGATGTACACCTGTGGGGCTATATAGACAGAGTTGTCAAAAAAAAAAAAAAATGTCTATAGTCTCACATATCTTCCAAAAGTTTCACTGACCTGTGGAATGAAATTTCATTTGCATTCTTTCCGATCTCCATAAGCTGTTTGGCCTCCTTAGCATCAAATTCGCCCATTTGCTTTCTAACGAACAGGCTTTTAGGGTCCTACAAAGGTGAAAATAAATTACATTTATCTATTCTCAAATATATGACATCAGTATTCATCAAAACAAAAGTTAGAAGTCTGTTTTTCTTATCAAAATAAAGGAAATGAAGAGGTAATTACTAAGAGATCTAACTTTATCCAAAGTGTATACTATAAACTGTGTACATCAAAAATCAAAATTTATGTCATTAAAGATTCATCATTTAACTTACTATCTCTGGTGCCTCAAGTTTTGGTTCATTCCTAAAACAAGTCAGAATAAAAACAAAATGAGACATTGGAAAATAATTAATTATTCACTCATGAAATATATACAAATATGGGACAGATTTAAAATTTCAAAAAGCAGCCTTTTTTGCTTACCTTGAAAAACAATAATCTACCTTACAGGTATTTCCACTTTTGAACTTCATTTTATTTAAAGCTTCTTTAGTTTGGTTAGCAGCTTCTTCTGTGTTGGCAGTAAATATATAAACCTCTGGAAAAAAAAAATATTATATATATAAATGTATATACATACATCTTGTGGTTCACAACTACATTATATATATTTCATCCATTCACAGACCAGTAGGGTTTTTTTTTTATGGGAAGGGGGGGGGGGGCATTAAGGCCTGAGATCCATTTCCTTTTTTTTTTTTTTTTTTTTTTTTAATGCTCAGTGTACCATCGAGATCTTTGACTGACATTCCCCTCTGAATCCTAACATTGGTCTCCCTTTCCTTATCCCTTCAAGAAGCTTAACCCTTTAATTTGGATGGAGGGCTGGGTGACATGCTGTCATGGAAAAATTTGGCTGACGGAACATGCTGTCACAAGTATTTCAGCTGAAAGCTGAGGTGACAAGATTGACTCACTTTTAGTGTGTAAAGCCCATGGAAAGATTAAACTTGGTGGGTATTTAGGAAGGGGATCTTGCATTACTGTTATTAGTAAAAGAGTTTCAATTGTACAATCTAAAAGCCATACAAGTCCTATCACACTCACACTTACACTATAATTTTCTGTTTCTGCCTAAATTTGGGGCTTTCCGCAAGTATCGCACACAATACAATTATATTGAGTAAGTTAATGGAAACAAGTCAATATTCTAGAAAATTACTATATATAATATTCACCATTATATTTCATTAAAATAATGTGCTATGTAAGTATTTGTATGGGCTGGGCCTACAAGTAACACATCCCAGGAGTCGCCACTGAAGTAAGCCTAATGCCCTGATTTTAGGCCACATGATGGCAGCATTATTTGAATCTATTTCATTAACGCATCCTTATTTTTTCACAAGCCCAAAATATCTGGTGTTTTCAGGTTTTCCCCTTTTTCTTTGATTCTATTGCAAGACATATGTATAACACTGTAGTTGGATATCAAATAAAAATAGTAATATGCCAGAGCTTTCCTGTTCAGATAGGAAAATAAGACCAGTGTTGATTTATCCACACTTGAAAAAGTGGAGCCAAGCAACATATCAGTGCCACCATGGGACTAAAAAAAACCCCCACAAAGAAGTGATATTCTCAATTTTTCCAAAGAGAACCATTATGGTAGTTAAGAGGTATTATGAAAACCACACCTTACTCAATTCACCAACATCAAAATTAAATCAAACAAACCTTGCATCCCATTTGCCATAAAATTTAGGTCTAGTAATTCTCAGAAATAATATACATTTCTAGTAAAGTTAAGTGTCCAAATATATTCTAATATATCTCTATATAATCCAATAAAATGTAAAAATGAAAAAAATTGCTTACCTGCAAAATGTGTACTCTGATTTCTTTCCCATATCTAGTAACTTTTCTGTGGTTTCTTTGTTAAATGCTGGTGCTCTTATGTACAGACCACAAGGATCACATTCCTGTCAGGCAAAACAAAAATAATGCTTAAATTGAAATCATTTTAACACATCCAAAAGGTTTTGTAATTACTTATACTCACAATAAGAATTTGTAAGCCATACTTCCAAATGTCTCAAAAAAAAAAATAATAATAAAAAATACTCACTGGCTTAGGTCTGTGATCCATACCACCCCTGCCCCCTCTGAAACCCCCTCTGCCTCCTCTGAAACCACCCCTGCCCCCTCTGAAGCCACCCCTGCCTTCACTGAAACCACCCCTGCCTCCTCTGAAGCCACCCCTGCCTCCTCTGAAGCCTCCCCTGCCTCCTCTGAAGCCTCCTTTGCCTTCTGCGAAGCCACCCCTGCCCCCACGGAAGCCACCCTGCCCCACGGAAGCCCTCCTCTGCCTCCACGGAAGCCACCTCTAGGACTGCTATCAACCTTTGCCTGGAATAAATAAACAGATCATGATAGCCTTCAATTACAATTATTTATTTATTATATATATATATTATATATATTATATATATATATATATATATATCGTCATTTCACGGATTTTTAGTGAAAATTGGCTCTGTCGCCCTGTCCTTAGAGTTAAACACCTCTTGAAAAGACTCATGAGGCATGGCCCAATGTCACCCCGTAGGGAACGGGAAGCGTGTGATACATGTCAGACTGGAGAACGATCATTTTCTTTCTGACTAGTATTTTACATTGTATAACCCTATTAGAGCATCAATAAAGGTAACTAATAGATAATTATATCATACATATGTAAAATGTAAAAAAAATTAAAAGGGAAAAGATTGTGATGTTTGGGTCCTTTACATTTTTAAGCACTGCATTCGCATTTTCAGTCCAATTTTATATATGGCTCATTTTGCAGCTGATTAGTATATCTATTACATGCTGCAATAAGGATTTGCAATATTTTCATGTGCATCTTATAAGGTGACATTTTCAAAAATCCCTTCATAAGGTGTTGAAATAGTCGCCTTCGTAAAATATTCACAAAAGAAAAAAAAAAAAAATCAACTAAAATTGGCTTCCGCATATTATAATAGAAAGATTGATCTATCTATAAATGAAATCAGAGTGGCTGTATTTTTTTTTGAGATTTTAAAATTTTTTTAAATGGTCAATGTAGGCCTATAAACACCCAAAATTACTGCTACCCTGCTACACTACATGAAAGATTATGAGAAACCGTTACGTGCTGGCAATGTCTGCAAGACTTAGGAATCCAGGTAGATGATAGAGGATTATGGTGTAGGAAGACTAATCTCATACCTTGTTTTGTTAATACCAAAATTATGAAAAGATGAGGGAAAACTAATAATGTCGCTATCTCAGAACACCTTAAGTGGACGGGCAAATCCTTACGGGCGCACTTTATGTCCAATATTAACATATTATAGCTCATTTTGTAGAAAAATAGCTGCTCTAACACAAATTTAACATGGCATATTATGTGAAGTGAAAATAATTAACCGTTTCTTTATTTCATGTTAACCCACCACTGAGGTATGTAAACTTTCTCAAATGCGCTGAACGTTTGTTTAGAAGTGACAACATCAGCGTTGATGACATACACAGCAAAGATTGCTTGACATGGAACTACTGTCGATAGTGCAACTTCAGGTTTCATCTTTTACTATTGTACTATCATTTGTAAATACAATACACAGATAAAATGCCATTATTGTTTGAGTAACAATTAACTTAACTTTATTAATATATTAAAAAGATCTTAGGAAACTTGGGAAACTCATTTTTATTGTCAAGTTACTTGGTAATTGTCACCGATAGCGATGCACACTCCAAGAGACTTAAGTAAAAAAAATTGATCTTTTTCTGCATGAAATCCAATGATTACATGAATTCTCTGCACTGTTTCTTATGCGAATGAATTGTTCAAGTACCATTTCTCCATTGACAATCTTGCTTTATTAGTTCTGTTAGTAGGGGAAGGCATGGATTATATCAGGGAAATGGGGTAAAACAGGCTTAAATTAGATTAATAACTATCAAAAATTTGCAAAACTAGCACAAGAAACAATTAAAATCGGCCAATTAAACTCTAAGATTTAAGAACTATGGGAACCCAACCCACCTTTCAACAAAACTATACAGAATTTCACACATTCCAACCCCCCCCCCCCCCCAAGATGCACTGGCGATTGTAGTGTATGGCTGCATACATCCCAACTCTAAGGATGTCATCTCCATAAATCTCAGCCAACACAAAACAAGCCGCCAGAGACTAAGTCCCCGCCCTGTGCCACATGCACTTACATCCTGCAGACATGTATATACTTTTTTTTTTTTCTTTTCTTTTTTTCCCCACCTGCGACTAAGTCCAGCAGGCTTTCTTATTCACCTTACATCTGTTCACTGCAGACGAATCTTTCCATGAGCAAAAAATCCATATTCTCGGTTGAGCCTGTCTACTGGTCTACATCCCCCTTACAACCATGAAACCAGCTTAACATAATCTAAGCTGCTGTGACTTGGCTCCACCCCAAAACACCCCCCGGGACACATTTTCTTCACCTCGGCATGTACAGCAAGATAGAGCTGCATTCACACCATAAAATAAACCAAATACCTTTATATCTGGAAACATCAAACTTTCATGCCTTCTTTCTACCGTCTGGAATGCTTCGATTTTAATAACTTCTTTTTGGCAATTGGAGCTCTTGATGGGCCCAGATACTAAACTGGGATAGTTACAGAAATCTATTTTAAATTCTTTATCACTGTATAGTCTTAAGATTAACCCAGAATTAACACAACACTGGAAATGCAACATTTCTCACCGGTGTTCAACCTCGAAATGAGCGTGCCAGTGAGCTGTCAACCTGGTGGCTGGTGAAAGGAAGGGTGAAACACCCGATGCACAGGATTCTAAATAAGGGTATAGATAAATCTTAAAATACACAAATGACGTATAACAACATTAATAAAAGACTTTAAAGCATAAATGTGTAACAGGAGACACTGATAATTAGCCAAGTATTTTTTGCCAAGCACATAGTAACACAGCAGTAATGAGTTACGCGGTCAGTGTTGTGTTATTCTAGACCAGGTAAACAAGTTGCAATTTAAATTATGTTCTATCCTACTATTTCTTCAGCTCTATAAGATGGCATTGTCTATTTCCCTCTATCTACGAGCGTCAGTCTCTTCAACTTATACCAGTTACTTTAATTTAATCATGAGTTATTACATTAGTATTGTGCAACTGGAAAATTTAGTGTGTAACAATCAGAAATTGAGTAAAAAAAAAAAAAAAAAAAGATATGGAATGGTTACCTTGACGTAAACTGAGACACTTTTTATTTATGGCAAAAGGTGTGCAAATCGAAAATAAAGGAGTAACACAACAAAGAGAGAAGATAGACCCATCTTTTACAAAGTCCCTCACCATGCTAACATCATGAATGTAAACAAAAGTATGACCAATTAACTCATTCTTGCGCTCTGATAAGAAGTTCATGTATTACTATGCCGTTGTCAAAACGATATTTGGCTAATTATCAGTGTCTGCTGCTCCACAATATGCTTTTGAAGGCCTTTGTTAAAGTTGTTAAACCTCATTTCCATGTTTCAAGATTTATTAGACAGTGATTTAAGGAAATCAATCTGAAGCACCTTCTGCGCATGCACATTTTCTGCCGCAGGTTTGACAGGACAATTCCCAGGCAGTTGGTGACAGGAGATCGGCGAGAAATGTTTCGTTTTCGGTGTTACATCAATTCTAGGTTGTTCTTAAGACTATACAGTGGAAACGAAAGAAGAAAAAGACCTTAATAACTACCGCAGTTAGATTTCTGAGGCCATCAAGTGCCCCAAGTAAAAAAAAAAAAAAGCAATCCACAAAAGACCGACCGTAAGCGAAAGAAAATTAACAGTTCGGTCTTTTGATATATAAAGGTATTTGGTTTAATGTTTATGGTATGGATGTAGCTCTATCTTGCCATATTTACCGAGGTGAAAAGAATGCATCGTGAGGGTGTTGGGGCTTGCCCCCCATCAACCCTCCCTCGGGCAGTAACGTCTAGTCACGGCACCTTAAATTGTTAGGTTAGGTTGGGTTATGGGTAAGGATGTTTTGGGAGGTTTGGAAAGTGTGAAATTCCGTAGATTTTGCTGAAATATTTGTTGGCTTCCCATAGAGTTTTTAAAACTCTGGCATGTCGGTGTGTAGACTTTCAAAGGTGGCAGACATGTCCGTAGAGTTTCATTAGCTGATTTTTACCATTTTTGGGCTAGTTTTACACATTTCTGTTCACTATTCTTATTCGAGCCTGTTTTACCCCATAACTTCCCTGATATACTTCATGCCCTCCCTGCTAATGGGACTTAACACATCAAGATTGTCTGCTGTGATTGCAACCGAAATGATCATCAGATTCGTTCTTGTCACACGAGAATAAATCTGATATAAATATTGTCTGGAAAGTCCCGACTGTCATTCCAGTGAAGTTAAACAA